CCTCCCCCCCTCCCTATTCGTCTTCCCTCGTCGATCACGATCCTAACAGCAAGTTGTAAAGTATGTTTACTAGGATAATTTACATTTCTTTATAAATGTTATCCCAGTATTGTGTCGTCACTTGCGACAGCTCTTTGTACCCACTTCAGAGCAAGTTTACTTAATATCAACGCATCGTTCTGTTTTACTCGTTGTTTGGGTGGAGTTGGCCTTGGAGGCGTCTGGAGGTGAAAAACAAAGGCTCACTTTTATTTGAAGTCGATTGTAATCCCGGAGTGTGTGAGTCCGCTTTGTGCCGAGATAAGCCCAACGGCTCGGAGGGGAGGCGAGAGGGACGATTAAACCCGATAGGGATACCCTTCGCTGCGAGGGTTAGCGATGGAAGTAAAGAATGTCACAAAAGAAGCGCTCACTTTGATAACATTAAAAAATAGTTTTTTCGTGTTTTCGACAGCGGCCGAGTGACAGACCCTCCTTGGAAATGGGTTTGACTTTATAGAATAATTGCCTGCTTTGTCAATTCATATCACACAAGCTTTTGCCTGCGGCTTCGTTTGAATAATAGTAATTTTTTCATATCTCAGGCACAGTACTATTTTCTGAATGAGAGTTACCCTCTACACTCTCTGTAGGACTGACAACGTGTGTGCAATTTCATGAAGATCGAAACAACGGTACAGCCAATGATAGAATAGACATTGACAATGATGTGATCATTTTACACCAAAATAGTAATTAGACTTATATAATTATAATACTATGTGATTTTCTGCAAACCAATTAAATTCAAAATATTGTTCTTGAACAAGTACAAACAAGTACGTTCAAGGTTCACGTGCGCAAGCCTGAACATATCCCATTAAATACTTCTAGTTGGCGTACGACGCGGCTCATGGCGCTAAAACCTGCACAAAAGGTGATCGCTCGCCCTCTCCCACGCGGCGTGTCTCAACGCAGAGTCGTATGTCACCAGTGACACAGTAAATGCTTACCCGGTGAACGTATTGCTCCAAAAAGAGGGAGTACCCGCGACCCTCATCAAGGCTTCCTCGTCGTTACCTCTCCGGTTTGTTACTGTCGCACAAGAACCACAACAGTTATAAAGCGATTAGACAGACTATGCGTTGTAATAATATGGTGCTAACTGTCATGTTTTACATAACAGAGGCATATATTTAATCGAAAATGCTAAGTACGCTATCACGGAAGTAGCGAAGTATTGGGTGATGAGTCAATACTACTAAAACTACATTAGATGGATTAGTCAGAAAAATTCATACGAGTATGTGTGAAGTTCATATTTATTGATTTGAATTAAGGTGGATTAAGTAATTTATGGTTATAGTTGTGTATAAATAAACTGATATCGTAAACTGATATCTTAAAAATGTAATGTTAATGTTTAATACATGACATAATACATGACACATAATATATACGTGATTGTAATACAATCAAAGAGTCAGAAGATCTCCACGTGCTACTGTGATGACATTCACGCCTCATGATCTTCTTATCGCCACTGTAACCACGGCACTAATCGTTGAATGGTACATTCTTAAACGTCCATCCTTGACTGTAATGTGATTTTATTGTATTGTGACCGAAAGTTGTATTGTATTTAGTTAGTCTTAGTAATACTTAACTACTTTACTTGAATACCTTTTATAAAATTTGTGAAATCGACAGTAGATCAGACTTAAATTTTGAACGAATTTTTACAACGGGTACCTATTGACCTTTTGCTCGAGATCTACCAGAAGTCGACGATAGTGAAGAAATTTTCCTCCACCACAAATATCACGACAAAATTTAACAGATAATCTAATCGAAACAATGACTTTGAGAATAAAACAAAATGCATTCATTTTTAACCGACTTCAAAATAGGAAAATACTTAATTCAGTTGTACTGTCAAAACCTCTGAAAAGCACAGTTTACTACAATCGATCATTATGTAGGTGCATTGAAATGGATGATATTTTTTTTAGAATTTACTAATTATCTTCGTGTCTGTACATGAATAGTTTCAAAAAGACATTTGTTGTATGACGGTAATGTCCGTGCATCAACAACGACCCCTCGGCCTCGTTGAACCCCAGGGTTTTCTAGCGAGCAGTGTATCGGAAGCCCAAATCCCAGAGTGGCCCAACATTCGATAAGCGGAGTTTTTACAGCAATGTTTGTATTCAATCATGTACTGTTTTGATTAGATCTCGCGGCGGGACGGAGCTCGCGCTTGAATAACAAAATTGTTTCGCTGCTGATGTAATTTCAATTGTCGTATTCATGGAGGAAACTTGTCGCGTCACTCGCGCGCTGGATAAATATTCAGTGTTTTTTGGCTCTCATCCGCGCCCCCTCGCCCGTCCGCGCAAGTGGGGTAGCCGAGATTCGAGGATGGTGACTTTTTTACTTTGAGATTTGGATGTGGATCAGGCGACAGAGGGGAGCGCCCTTACGTTTAGGAAAATAAAGATATCACTTTTGTTCAATGAAGTTTTAATTGTTGTAATAGCTGTACCCTGCCGCGCTTCGCTGTTGCACATTTTGGGTGCATTTATGATAAAATAAGAAACAAAACTAACATGCAAAATAGATAATAACAACCATCGAAGCGGTTTGTATAACATCGTGTCGACGAGCAATTTTAGTAAGTTCCACTGTTAAGTCACATGCCAGGAATATTCCCTTTTTTAAAAAGGAATATTCAGTTATATTGTTACCGACTGGCATCGAATGCGACAAGACGAAAGAGAGGCTGATTGTTGGGCGCTCGAGGGCCCGCGCGTACGTCGCTCGTGAAGGCGTTTCCGTCGCTCTGTACGCTCGTTGTATCAAACTCGAAGTGTAATAAAAACACTCGTATTTCACAAAATAAAGTCATAATTCTGAGTTTCGCCCGACACGGCTATTCACTGGCATCGGCAGTGGGTAGGTCCGCAGTCCCGCGGTGCGGTGTCCGCCGTCGCCGGAACCGGAAGTCGTTAGCCGGCGAGCGACGGGCGCGCCCTCTGTAGCCTCTGGCTGAATGTTAAATGTGCGCCAAATGCACTGCAACATAAAGCAAGTGACTCATCTCTCACGACGCGCGCTCTACAACAACACGAATGACGGATGACACGCCATATTGACTTTCGGTTCATCACAATTATTTACTTTACTCTGATCTCCTTAAGGAGGTGGACTACAGCAGATTTTTGCTCGCTTTGAAGTAGGGTCTCTAACAGTGGATCTGTTAAAGGCTCTGTCTGATTTAAAACGTTCCTAGGCAATTCTTAGATTAGACTATGAAGGGTACTAACTGCCTTAGTATGCATTTCAGAAATGCCATACTTGTTTAGTGCCACAAAACAACACAATTACGGGGCAGTGGTGAAACATAACATCAACTTTACATATATTTAAATAGACATGAAATGTATGTGCCGTACGTAGCTACAGCGCTAATATCTGCTGAACTCAGCGGTTCTAGCGAACATGTAATGTAACAATTGAATAAATATTTTACTCGTTTGGCTCAAATGGAATCGTGATTTTAACCTAATTACACGTAAAACGAGCGCCCCAAGGCTCGGTGGTCCATGTGGAGCTCAAATAAAAACGTGCGTCAGAAATCTTCCCTCAAATAAAATTATTTCGTCTTACATGAATGTTCTCTTTATCTAATTAATTAATTAAGACGCAAACATACAAAGATACAATTTCTTAATATCACAAAAACTTTATTTGTGTTCTGCGAAATGTTTAATGGAAACATTACTTCATAAGAAGACATTTTGATGGAACATTATAATTTTCAATATAAACGGCGTTGAAATGAGTTTCCATTTGTTGCTATTGACGATGTGTTAGCATGAGAACTAAGTACATACTCGTAATATAACCATGGCTCGATCTGTGTAAGATGGAGAAACCTGAACTAACTACTAATGACATGTATGTTGGTCTACTGGTGATCTGACTGTTGTGAATCTTGAATATTGCAATATTTGCCCATTGATTTTTAAAGTGAACTATACTACGAAAAAAATCACACTCCGGGATTGCCGACAGAAGTGAAAACTTTCATTTTTGTTTTTTTTTGATACGAAAAGTTCCCCGTGAATATATGTCTATGTTGTACGTATATACACAATACACTTTTATCACTGTATTTCAACCCAAATTCAAGTCTCGTGTAAACGGGTACAATATACTCGTGTGTATATACAGAGGTGGCGGTAACGGTAACAGTGTCGCAAGTTTAATGTTTTTTTCCCATCTCAAAATATGTTTTTTGCTAAACCATTAAATATATTCTTTTGTTTGTTGTTCACTTCAATATCAACGTAATTACAATACTTCACATTTAACTGCAATATTTTAAAGTGGTGTATAACAATGGAAGGTGATTTGTTCACAGGCGGTTATCTCGGTGCTATCGCGGATACTGCAGGGTACAGTGGAGCGGACGGCGCGGGCGGGCGAACACACATTACTGATGGTACTCGTAGGTAGATAGCATAGAGCACACAGAACTGCATGTACCGAGTCGGAAACGAATAGCTAAATGCTAAATGCTGCTGTTATTCTGAATCATCTTCATTTTTTACTTTTTATTTTTAATGTGGTCATAATGTTAAAAGCTCGGTGTGAACTAATATTATTACTTCTATCAAGTTGGCCACTTAATGCCTGTTCTCTGTTAATATTGTATGTTACCCTCATTTGTAAATTAGCAGTGAAATGTTACATAAAAATTACCTATGTATTTAAGTATTCAATTAAGTTATTACAATTAAGAGCAGGACAGAGTCTCGACAAGACTGAATGTATGTTTTTATGCGACTTATCCCTTCACTCCACTTTTATTGATTTAAATGTCCTACGTTGCCTGTCGAGCAACTCTTCCTCAAAACTGAATGTCCCATATTTACCGAGATATGTAAGTTAAAGTTAAGTTCGAAGTATGTTTACAAGATTTTTAAACGATTTCACACTTTCGGCATTGATATTGGTCATATATTTAAGTTAATATTATTTGCATTGATATTATACTGCTTTGACCACTGAGTTACTGCCAGCACTTTATTGCTAGACATCACTACGCAACGCTCCTGTAGCATCAGACCCATCCAGTGCATCTCAAATGCTGAGAAGCGCAAGATGACCGACGATTGAAAAGATTGACCCAATTGCAAATCCATTTGCTCGAGCCATCCATTTTTCTCTCCATCCAAGCAGTCGACAATTGCAAGAGTGAATGGGATAAGAATATACAAGCACTGCGCTTCTCTATAATTGCAGCCGGTATTGCTTATCGCGCGCCGAGCGACGCTACGGTACTCAGACATCTCAGTAAAAGATAAACTCTTTGAGGATTCCTATACAAAGTAGTCGCGGCGGCGGATCAAAGCCGAACTGAATTATATTAATTAGATCTGGAGCAGCTTGCTCCTCGAGAGAGACGAACTAAACCGCGCTCTTCCACCGAAACCCCTGCCCCCCTCGCACCCCGCACCGCCCTCGGGCCGAGCGAGATTCTAGTCATTTACCTTAATAAGATCCATTGAATTGAAGAACAACGAGAAGCCGACCAAAGTCAAAACATCGCAGCCTTCGTAAATTGAAAATGAATTTGTTGCAAGTATTCACTGTTTACTGAAGCCTACCTCGACCCACCGAATCGGTCACGACGTCCCCATCAGCACTTGAAAATTGAAAAACCTGGAAAAGCATGTCGTATTCAGTAGTATATTTGATAATGTCTCTAACTAAGGCAAGTGCTCGAGTTAACAGTAATTCATTTTATTATTACCTGTGAACAATACTTCGCGGAACTCAGATAAATAAAACAATGGATACCTTGACAGTATATTAGATCTCGGCGTGATCTCAATAAACAAAACATACATTCATTAACTTATACTTAATCGACGGAAAATCATAACACCCCGAGTGAGGAATAGTGTCTAAATCAACAACGCCATCTAGTTACATGCATGAAAAAAAAACGTTAAACATACTTTCGTTGCACTTCATTGAATGAGATTACATTGACATTAAAAACATTTAAAAAGAAAGAAAGCCATTACTTAGCGAGTAATCACGGCCTCACAGAAAACCGGCAGCAATTATTTCTTTGCTTTTTACCGATTAAGAGAGATTATCGGAGATCCGCAAACCCTTGGGGGCGGGAGGGAGAGACATAGAAAAGGCGGCAACGCACTTGCGTTTCTGGACTTGTCATCAGGTGGTTCGTCTGCTCGTTGGCCCACTATACTGGAAACAAACGAATACAAATAAGTTTGCTACTACACGAGCTGTACAACATATTTCTGAAATGGTGTTTAGCAAACATTCATCGTCTAGTACCTTCCTCATTCGATAGAAACGAGCTGTCAAAGAGCCAAATCTCTGTAATTGAATCTGTAGAATTGAAAGAAACACCATACACTCGGACTGAAACTGTATATTCTGTTGTAGGTAATTAAATAAATCGATGGTGGCGTTTTATTTGATATCTAAATTTCTATCCAATCATTCGCGCCCAGCTCTGTGACACGCGAAATGTAGCAATGTGTAGGGTCTGGAGACTCAAAAAATAATGAATATTTTATTTATCCTCTTAATATCTTATCTTATTAATCCTCTTTCTTTTCCAAGGAAGTTAAGATGAGGAACACTTAAATTCAGTTTCAGTAAATTTGCTAAACCTTTTTACTTTTATTTATGGAATCTTTTGATCCTTGAAGTACGAGTATTACTTTTCATAATTTGATGTAGATCACAAGACAGTGAGTATAATTAAGTCCCACAGTACCAAGGATCTCGGTGGACTAACTACAAATTGAAGTGAAGTGGTTGTTCCCTATCAAGAACTGCCAAGTCAACTATCAAGTCCGCTAGTCTCCTATAAATGGCGACTTGTACTGCAGTTCTAAGAAGAATCTTTAGGGTTATCTAAATTTCAAACATGTGAAATGCCATATGTTTGAGTAACAAAATGATGTTTCTTATATTTTTCCGTTTATTTAATAAAAGGAAAACCACAGATATTTTTGGGCCCCCTCACCTCGTTTATGCCCGACTAATACTCCAAGAACTTCTTATAAGGGACCAACTGGAAAGACTATATTTGCCTACTACTGGTGCTGTATCATCAACAGCTTTTAGTAGTCAACTGAAGGACGTAGGCCTCTCCTTAGAAAGGAGGTTTTTGCCTACTATCGCTCACGGACGGGTTGGACGGGATAGAGTTTGTGTCAAGTTTGCCTTCTCTTTGCAGTGCCGTTGTAGTAGTAGTTTGCTCCCTTAATTGGCTCTTACGACACCCACAGGATGAATAGGGTGGTGACACTCCACATTCTTAACCCGTCATCACACGGATAGCTGCTCTATATCAACTGCTCATTAGGAAGACCCGAATTCTCTGAAGAAAGTGGTAGAGTTAACAAAGCATGTAACTCCGTTAGTGTTTGCAACTTACTCGTACATAGGCCAGTAACCACCTTCCACTAAAAATATTATGAAACGAGATTATCGTGAGTTTGATGCCAGCGGCGGTACTCTTCAAGACGGCACGTATTATGAGAAGATGCTTCTGTGTCAAGCCTTGAGGGCTGGGTAAAGTACAAAAATATTTTCATATAAGTGTATTATTATGTATACCTATATAACGGATCTCGGATGTCGTGACACCTTTATTGCGTATTAATGTTAGCGTACATATGTACAATGTATATACAGCCATGGTGTACACGACACGAGTTTGTTTACGAAATTATTTACGTAATGCCTTTAAGTAGAGCAGCCGATTAAAAGGGATTAATTTTAATATTAATTAAGCTTAATTAACACACATCAATGGATGTGTCTAGTATCGGTGTACACGATGTTATCTTAAACCTATGTACACATATAATGCGGACTGATTGATTTTTCAGGCTTCTGCGGTAAATGAACCTAAGCATAAAAGCCTGCGCCTGAAACATTATGAACGTATTTTTTCTTTAATTATTTATTTCATATTCATGTTAAATACTTAATTGTATTATATTACAGATTTTGTGAAACCTGCACCATTAACGAGCACAGCGATAACAGCGCAGAGCAAGTCAATTACTGTAGTGTTGGAGCATGTGTTCCTACTACTACGAGTATGTACTCGTACATACGAACTTGTTTTCCAGAATAAATAAAGCCCTCGAGCGGTCGCCGCTTACATTAATTCGTGTTTGACCGCGGCCCTATTTGGCGGAGTAATTGTGAGCTCTCGTCGCGACTCATGCATTATGTATGTGTGACCTAGACCCACGTTCCTCGCTCGCACCCAGCTCGCTCACTCACACCACGTTAGAAAAAGAGTGCCGCAGACGACCTGGCTGAGAATGTGTGATCGCTTCTGGCTCTCTACTGAATAGCTAGCACTTGTATAATAAGCATTTAGTTACTAATTGTTTGGCCTAATACGTACTGTAAAATGTTTCTAGTATATAGTCAGACAAAAGTTCAGCTTATAATTTCAGACACGGAGGTGGTTTAGAGAACTCACTCGTGAACACAATATATGGTCGTAACATGTGCCTCGTGCTAATCATTATCAACATATTCAGATATAATAAAATATTACAGTCTCTTGATGCTACATCAAGTTCCGATCTAATATACCATCATTAAAAAAAAAAGCGTTTAAAAAATTAGTTCCGCGGGGATGCTTGACTCTTTTCGATCCCAATAAGAACCACGACCTGATTAAGGGTTAAAGTTTCCTGTAGCGCTAGAAGAGCATACTCCTTTGTGCTTGAGTTTGTCACTCCAGAGTTGCAGACGCTCATGGGCGTCGGCACTCACCTTCCATCAGGTGATACGTCAGTTCGTTTGCCCCTGAATTATATTTCGTTTAAATAACAAGACCAATCCAGCAATTGACACTGACTGCGACAGAACGGTGAGCCCTGATTCCCAAAATTATTCGAGGTTCCTTGCAATATACATGAGTACAACAGTAATCGAATCGTAAATGTACACGTGTTGCTCACTTGTACATTAACTGCTAACATGCCAACTTACGCAGTTGGCAAACACGTAATGTAACTAAATTATCTAAAAACTGGTCCTTCTAAAAACTTAAAGTACCACATTATTTATCATATTTAAAAAGATTTTCAGTATGTCTGTTACATTATTACATAAAGTGCAGTACAGTAAATATATTCGTCATATTCTTGTAATGTTTCTATGCGACACCGTGTGGTACTTAGGTTGTTGTAAATAAAATATCTTCTTGGGTTGACTTGTATTATATTATCAGTAGGTTACAGACTGGTACAGTACACTTTACAGTATCCAGACAGAGGAACAATGAATGACAAAGTAGTGTGGCCATAGTACATACCATCTTAGTAAGCGACACATGCGACCATGCACACGCGAGATTAATCTACTAAGAATGTATTAGATAGTGATGTTACAACAATTCTCGTTGAACTTGCCAAAAGATCTCAAGTTAAAAAACATCTTATGTTAAAGTAAATTTTAATTGCTTTTTTTTTATGTTAGCGGGAGCAGACGAAGAGACAGGTCACCTGATGGAAAGTGACCATCGCCGCTCATAAACGTCTGCAACTCAGGAGTCACAAACGCGTTACCGCTTTTTTTTAATGAGATAATGCCAACATTTTACTCGATTTTCTTTGAAGAAAACTGTTTCGTTAGTGAAAATGTGTAACATAACCCTAGTTCAGTTAAATCAATGCTAATGGTGCTCATTTGAACTGTGAGGTTGAGATAGTCGTAGCTACCATAGCTGCAGGTGTGTGCGCGCACTAAGCATTCAGTATCGTCTACGCGGTGCTACGAGACACTACATCGCTACGCCTCACGAATATTAAAAAGGCGGCTCGTTTACGCCGTGCAGCAGGAGCGTGGAGGGGCCGTAATTAATGTTGGCTAAATGAGGGCCCACTCTGATGAATATTTAGATTTATTGTCACCCCGCACATACATATTGGCGGAGGAATTAATTCTGGACCAGTAATGTGCTCTTTGAATAAATTGACCGCCTCTGTTGTTTTAAAACTTGGCGGCTTCGATTTTTCATTGAATTTGTAAGGTTTATTATCTGATCCAGCGACAATCACTCCCAACGAAATTTGTTGTCGTGCAGTTGTTGGGTTGTCGATACTAAGTCCGGGTTCTCTAGAACACGTCTCTGGAGCATGTCCCATGCATCATGCGCAGCCGACTGAGGGAGCTACATACAAACTACGTAGGACAACAGCACTGCAAAGAGAAGGAAAACTAAAAACAAACCCTATGCCAACTTGTCTGGCCACCGAGGTATAGTAGGCCA